ACGTCATCTAACTGTGAGCCGCAGGAACTAAGTTTACCACCTAATAGATGACATTGCCCATGGTATTAGGATGAAGAGTTGAATAACTCCAAGAGCCGTGCAAAGCATTCATATCCCCATAGATAATGACATTATGATATGTTTCTAAATGATTTAAAAGATTTATCCAAATGTCTCGAGTGGCTGAAGAAGTGCAATTCGAGGACAGAGGAGGATTGTATATTGAAAATAAGTGGAAAGTTCTTCCCGCACAGTTAAAACTGATTCCACAGATGTCAGTTTCCAAGCGCATATGAGCACTACGAACTGGAAATGAATCCATGAGTTCAATCTTAAGGAAGCTGACATCCTTTCTGATTAATATGGCACTACCACCGCCGACTCGAGATCTGTTAGCGGATATAATGTTATAATTAGCAAAAGTTATTGTAGAGTCATCCGACAGCCACGTTTCACTTAAGCAAATGAAAATAGGCAGGTTATCCATATCTTCAATAAAATTGAATAGGTCACTCTCTCTGGCCCTAATAGATCTACAGTTCCACTGAATAATTGAAAATTGTTTGTAAGACATACTAATAACGTCAACCAAAGAAAATTTAAAGAATGCTAAAAGATAGTTCAGGGGATAAGGAAGATATAATTGAATTAATTTGAATTGAGATAGCTGAAAGTTGTGATTGCATACTAATATTATCAGTGGAAAAAATAAGGCTTTGAAGTAATGAATTAAAAGAAGATGCTATAGTATTAAGATGGTTAGTTTGAGAGATATCTTTGTTGAATTCAAGACTAATGGGGGAATGAGGTTGAAGTTCCTGGTTAGTAGATAGTTTAGAGAGTTGCGAAGGGACAGAAGGGGGACTTACAGAAAGAGGGAGAGGAGAATGAGAGTTATGCTCCGACAGGGCAGGAGAAGAAGTATGGAAAGAAGGAAGCCTCTTTGAATTAGAATTGTTTCCCAGCCAATTAACGCCAGAAGACAAAGAGCTGGTAATAGGAGAAATCGCTGAAGAGGAAGAGGATTTGTCATCTTTAATTATATTTTTAAGATCTAACTTACCTTTCTTACGCAATCCATAATTAAAAGTTTTGGATTGTGGGGGAAGTGGAGGAAAATCAGAGTTAATCAAATTACTACGATTAGAGTCAAAAGTAAATGTACCGCTATATGTCTGAGAAGGATAGAAAGCATTTAGAAATGAGCCAAAAGATAGAAGACTGTTAGTAGAAGTTGTCTTAAAATTGTACCAATCTTCTGGTATTTCATTGGAATACTTTTTAAAGGTATTAATTGCGTCTGAATTGCTGAGGCCAAGTTTGGCCATAATGATTTTAACTTTTTTGAATTCAATAAAGATTGGACAGTTCAAACTGTCAGCCGAATGATCAATGATTTTATACCTTTTTCTGATGCAGTTAATACATTTACGCACCTGCTCCCCACCCTCAGCACCCGAATGACCTTCGCCTGCGCATTTAGGGCAGATAGCCTTCTGTTGAGCATTCCTACACTGATCCGCAATGTGTCCAAACCTCAGGCAGTGATTGCACTTTATAACTTTCTGAACATAAGGTCTTAGTTTTATGACCTTACCGAGGCCTCATCAGGGAAGATATATCCCTCGAAAGTTAGCAAATACGTAGGGCGTCTCTTTCGCCGGGACGGAACACTTGATTGTTGCTCATCATTAATATTGTTGTTAATACACTTAACAGAATGTAACTTGGGCCACAAACCATCCAGGAGGCGGCTTAAGTTTATCCATAATCTCATCCTCCGATTCAAAAGCGTCAAAGTCCCAAGTAATACATTGGCGATGTACTTTATAATTGGGTATGTACGACACCCAACTGGAATGTAAACAGAGAATCTCTGTGCTTGAGGAATTTTTTAATAATATTATTAGCACATTCACGTTTAGTGAATTTGACAGAAAATTTGTGTGAACCCACATTTTTTAGATCATATGTGTAATCCCAGATATCACCAAATTTTTGATAGGCTACTTTGCCTAAACGTATTTCACTAATATGTGGAATTTCCTTATTTTCCATAGATTTCCTGGAACAAACATATCCTTCAATACGGACCTCGTAAGGACCCTTATGTCCTACCGGGTAGATATTCTTCATTAGTTTGCCTAAGTGTGGCGGGATATCATTCAGCGTTTCTTCACTGAGCTCAAGGAGGCTTCCGAGGAATCCATACTTTTCACGTCGTTTAATTGCGAATTAGCAGCGCTATCAAATTTCCTTTTATGTGTTAGCTTAGGGCGTAGGATAGCATCGTCTATTTTTGAAATCGGAACATTGTCCGTTATGTCCATGTCACATTGCGATGTAACGGTAAGCGGTTGTGACGTCATCGTCTAATGGCGAGTGATCGCCAGAATGAACCACTAATTTCTCAACACGCAGAGACTGCGAAATTAGTCGAGATAACACTAATTGCAAAACACCAATATGAAAGGAACTCGCACACGGGTGTAAATCCTTTCGTTCGCTATGAAAACAGCGGATATTAAAACACATTCACGGCGGAACCAAAATCTGAGATGCACAGAATCAAGAGTACTAACGTAAACTCTTATATGATATCGTGAAGCATTCAGATTCAAAAGCTCTTTAAGTATTCATTTCCATGACCTCGTTATGTGCTCATTTCCATGACCTATTTATGTTTTCACAAAACGACGCATTGGCCAACATTATATCATTATGACTTCTTCCAGAGATTTTTTTCTGAACTCATATTCTCAAATGTGAGTTCTTTAAGAGCTGTTTTTGTTAATATTTTGCTTACTGGGTAGCGACATTTTTCAAAAAAAAATTTTGATTTATTCTCCAGCAAAGCTAATACTTTTAAATATTGTTATTTCATTTGTTTCAGATTATTACACGTGCTGTAATGTTGTTCGCCAGTTACAGATGTCTATGAACACCACGCACAAAAAATCAGACGAAATTTAAATTTTTCTTTTAATAAAAGAATAATTTTCTTATATTTGAAACAATAATAAGTAGTATGTTGAAAACTCTGTAATGATATTTTTATCCATTTTTTAAATAAATTTCGTAAAAACCCATTTCCGACTACATTAACCAAAACCTCTGCGTAATCTTTGTATCATTAAGCGTCGTCTACAATGAGGATTTAAGCCATAACATTTAAACTTTTAGCCCTAAGTCGTAAGAAATTGGCCAATCACACTCGATTATTTTTCTTATAATTGAAATCGCGACATCTATAGGATATCCATGAGATGTATTTTGGATATTTATTCTATACGAGTATCCCATTTAATAGCGTATATTTAATACTTCATAACATTAAATAGTCTACGAAACGACAGGATCTGCGCGCAATCTGCCGCCAATCTGCCGTCAGAGTCTATCTGCAGGCTCTGCGCGCAATCTGCCGTCAGTCTGTCGTCAGAGTCTGTCGACAGGCTCTGCGCGCAGTCTGCCACCAATCTGCCGTTAGAGACTGATAAAACAGATTCTGTGTGCAGTCTGTTGTCATTCTGCCAACAGACACTGTTGACAGACTCTGCGCAAAATCTGCTCACGCAGGTTTGGCTATCTGGGAAGTATAATTTTTTAAATATTATGATTTTCTCGCAGTAATATCATTGTGATTTTCACCATTATATTACTGTGATGCATTTGCCGCGGACATTTTAATGTTACTGTGATATCTTAGTAACATTCCAGCATTATTTCTGTTATAT